ATCACACTAATCTATGTCATCATGAAAATGAGAATGTTTCCCATTCTCAGACACAGAAAAAGTAGCATGTTCATCACCAGCACGCATGATTAATTTACCACTATGTACATCAATAAGTGCATTGGCGGTGGCGAGAAACGGTCTACCCAAAATCAAAGGTACATCCACATCCTCATTTATATCCAGAATAACAAAATCAACAGGATATGTGAATGCACCTACATTAACAAGCAGATCCTCAATGATACCCCTAGGATGCACGATAGAAGGATCAGCTAACTGAATGCTCATCCTAGTAGCTCTAGGTTCACCTAGGTTGAGCTTTTTAAACAATTTGTTAGGCATGACATTTATGCTAGCGCCTAGGTCCGCCAAGGACTTTCCTACATGCATGCTGCCAATAACAAGAGGGATAGTGAAAATCCCTGGGTCTTTACGCTTCTCGAGCAGCTTGTTCTGCAGGATAGCAGAACACTCCTCGCTCAGCATCACTGTCGAAAGATCCCCAAGTTTCTTCTTGTTGGTGAGGAGGTCCTTCATGAACTTGGAATACTTGGGCATCTTCGACAGTGCCTCCACGAAGTGCATGCTGATGTTGACCTGCTTCAACATTGCCATGAACTTGGAAAACTCAATCTCCAGCTTGTCTTTATGTAGGCGAGTGGGGAAAGGGACCTGGGGTACATGCTCCTTGACCACTAGCTGTGGCTTGGGAGCAGGTGCTTCTTTGTCTTCCCCCACTTCTGCATTATCAGCTGGAAGTGTTGAAGCAGGTAGTGACTCGTCTTGCCAGGGCTGGGCAGGAGCAGCAGATACGGTCTTGCCACTCCTGGTAGTGATGGCATCCAGCTGCTAGTGAGGCTCACGAGGGTTCGGAATAGTGGTGGCAGGCAGAGTCCTCGGTGCCCTGGTAGTGTTTTGGCGAGCTATGCCCCCAATCTGATTCTGTAGATCTTGAAAAATGGCACCTTGGTTTCTCTGGCCTGCCTCCAGTGAGGCTATGTTCTGATCCATCCTCGTGAAATTCGCTTGGCTGGTGGTCATGAATGCCTGCAAAATATTTTTCAGCTCCGTCATCTGATTATCTGGAGCTGCAGCTGCTGGAGGCTGGGCGTACTAACGCTGGGGCTGCTGGAATAGCTGCCCCTGCCTAGGCTGGTAGGGCTGCTGCTGTAGTGGTGACCCCTACCTAGCTTGGAAAGGCTGCCTCTGCTGAAAACCACCTACTGGTGCTGGGAAACCAAGTGGTTTAGTGGTTTGTTACCCCAAGCAAATTTGGGATGCTGGCGCCACCCCTCCTTGTATGTATTGCTATGGGTCAAGGCGCCGAGCATTGGTGATGAATTCCACCTGCTCTTGGGGAGTAGAAGACTCTCACATAGCCTGACAGTCCTCCACCAGATGATTCGGGCTCTCACACCACTGACATTGAGCTACTGGAGGCGTAGCCAAACCTCGGCCCGGAATAAGATTGTTGGGCTGCTTCAATGTCTACACTAACTCAGCCACCTGCTGTTCGAGCCCGTACCTGGCATCCATGGCATGCACACCACGATCCCGGGAATTCCTGCCTCTGCTGCTCTGCCCCCAAGAATGATCTCTGGCAGCTAAGGTACTGATCATCTGGTTCAGTTTGGGTGGAGTCTTAGTAAGAATGTCCCCTACCGGACATAGAGACTCAATCACCCTCTGGCTTTTCGGAGAGAGGGCACTGTAGAAGTTCCCCACGGTGAATGCATCACTGAAGCCATGATGGGGACATTGCCAGAAAAATCCCATGTACCGCTCCCATGCATCAAGAAGTGACTCATCTGGCTCTTGGCGGAAGTGAGTGATCTCCCGCTGGATTTCTGTGGTCTTCGATGCCGGATAGTACCTATGCACGAACTTATCAACCAGATCGACCCAAGAAGTGATGGACAATGGGGGCTGGGTCTCCAACCACCTCTTAGCATGCTCCGCCAGAGAATAGGGGAAGAGGTGAAGGCGGATTGCATCATCGGGGACACCGTTCAGCTTTCCCGTTCAGCTTAAACCCGTTCGTCAGCTGCAGGAAACGGGACAGGTGCACCCTTGCCTCCTCATCCTTCAAGCCATGAAACTGGACAGAGGATGTAATGAGTTGAATCCATCATGGCTTGATCTCGAAGTTGTTCGCTGGAATAGGCGGGTAGAGGATGACAGGGCGGATATCAGCAACCCGTGGAGTGTAGTAGTACTCCAAGGTGGGACCCGGCGGTGGCGGATGATGATGAACCCCATATGCCTGGGGTATGGGGTTGTTCCCCAAGATCTGATTCACCGGGGGAACCTGGAAAGCATTCCCCTGGGGGGGTTGTGTTCGCCTTCCATCTCGTACTCTTCCTCAGAATCGCTGCTCAAGTGGTCGTCTATGCGCTCCTTCGTAGCCAGTCTAGCTTGCTGTTGTCTCCTAAGTTGGCGACAGCTGCGTTCAAGCTCCGGATCCAATGACAGTAAACCTCCCGACTGGCTACGGGTCATGCACTATCTGCACACAGTCAAGCAATGCAAACCCGTGAAGGCACAAGTGGGAAAGAACAAACAGTCAATGCGAAAATGAAAATGCTAAAGTAACAGAAATCACTTTTCTTCAACAACCTAGCCGTCCCCGGCAACGGCGCCAAAAACTTGACTCACTCCTACTGTCACTTTAGAAAATAGCCAAGTGTAACCACTTCCTAAAGCGTAGTATAGTGGGTTTGGGTTTTAATGTCAACCCGGGTCCTAGATGTGATGACTACTCAGTAAATTCTTATTATCTAGCAGTAAAACTTTAGTGCATGTTCAATTAAGCAAACAAGTAAGCAAATAAATAGTTGTTTTCAAGTCGAGAGAGGTCACCCGGATATGGTTCCCCCTAGACTACAGTTACGCCAGATTGTAATTTACCAAGTTCAGTTTCTATGATAGTTATACTGCGGAAGGTTCTTAAACAGCCTGAAGTCTCGACTAAAGGTCTCCAGACCCTCTCAATCTGAGTCTCTAGCGGGCGACTAACCTCCACTGGAGTAAACAGATTGAGGCCCTAATGAACAAAACCTCCACTACCGAAGTGAATTCGGTACAGAATAGTGAGTTGTCTCCTCGACTAAAGTCACCAACTCCCTACCTTCAATCAAGGGTGCTCTATCAACCTAGGCAGATATTCTCTTTCTAGGTTAAAGCAGAAACAACAGGAATTTGATCAGGATTCATGCCATTCAACAATTCATACCTCAATTGAACATAATCATATCAAAGAATCTATACTTGAGTTCATACAGTCAGACCTAACACACAGATCTAGGGTTCTCCATACCCAGATGAATGAGGAAGTTACTCCATGGAGAGAGAAGCAAAAGCAAGTTCAGATGTAGAAATCATGTTGTTAAGGATGCGAATATGCTCCTGGTCGTCAATCAGCACTTCTCCAAGTGTGAGTTGAGCTCCAATGGTGATGAAGATCAAGCTAGGGCACTTGGGAACTCTGGTTCGTCGCTCTCTCTCTCTCTCTCTCTCTCTCTCTAGGAATCCCTTTCTTTCTCTAAAACTCGGAACCCCTCACTTGTGGCTGGAAATTGGCTTAAAACCCCAGAATTTCCCGACTCACACGGCCAGGCCACACGGCCGTGTGACTTCTCCAGATGCCCGTGTGACTTGTGCAAACCACGTCGTTTCGATAAGTGACTCAGGCTTCCTACACGGCCACGACCCACACGGCCGTGTGAGTGTCTAGGCTGCCCGTGTGGAATTTGCCGAGCCTTCACACGGCCACAATGGGTCTCCTACATGGCCCGTGTGAGTTTGCCCGTATAATTCGGTGCCACACGGCCGTGTAGGCTTTAGGCCTGCCCGTGTGGCTCCATCAGCTCCTCGCCAAACGTCCGATCTTCGTCCAATCAACCCCGAACTCGTTCCCAAGCCTTCATTCACGTACTAGGACCTGAAATATCACAAACAAGAACAACCTAGCGTGAAATCAGCCTAAAACGCGAGAATCGACATCTCAAACGGCTCAAGGATAGCGGTAAAAACATGTGCAATCAATGGTCTATCAGTTTGATTGACTGTGATTGTGTTGGGTTGGAAATGTGGAACCTTGTGCTATGAATAGTTCCACCACCTAAAAGGCCTTTTCCCCATGTCCTAGACCCTAGCCAGTCATTTGAACCTGTGTCTAAGACCTCCAGATTAGTTAGTGATGACACTCATTTATGTGAGCTCTAGCATTTGGAGGTTGCCGTCATGGTGAAGAGATGTTAGGGATTGAGAGAATAAGCATGCGCATTTTTCGCATCAAATTGTCCTGACCCCACTGGTCGAGAGTGAGCGATTCATTTTCTCATTTTATCTATACTCTTTACCCCGATGAGGACCTAGATTGCTCGGTCTCAATTCTGATATCTTGAGTTTTGTGCATAAGGTGACTGTCTTGAGTAAGTGGTTGAGTCAAGTCTATGTTGGTTGATGAACAGAAGGGAGAGTCCTCCTTTACTCGATTTTGCTGCACTCAAATGTCCTCTGTGGTGGTTGTCCAGGTTGCTGTTGAAGTTGTTCATGTGTTGATGTTGAAAGCCAGTACGATTCAGGTGTTCTGTGCTTATATGATTTGTCCCCAATGTTGGTATGATTGAAATCGTGAGCTTACCTTGTGTCTGACTTGGTTTGCTTGGGGACAAGCAAACGGTTAAGTGTGGGGGAGTTTGATAGACCGTTAATTGCACATGTTTTTACCCCTATTCTTACACCGTTTGAGATGTTGATTCTCGTGTTTTAGGCCGATTTCACGCTAGGTTGTTCTTGTTTGTGATATTTCAGGTGCTAGTACGTGAATGAAGGTTTAGAAACGAGTTCGGAGTCGCTTGGACGAATATCGGACGTGTGGCGAGAAGCTGAGGGTGCCACACGGACACTCCTAAAACCCACACGGCCGTGTAAGGAACCCATGTGGCCGTGTGGAAATTACCGAGCCTTCACACGGGCATCCTGGGAATTCCACACGGCCGTGTGTCCGTGGCCGTGTAGGAAGCCTGAAGTCCACTTAATCGAAACTCCGCGTTTTGACACTTACACGGGTAGCTGGGTAAGCCACACGGCCGTGTGGCCTGCCCGTGTGGTTTGGAAAATATGGTTTTAACAAAAATTCGAGCCAAAGGAGAGAGAGTCGACTTTTTGGAGCAAAAACAGAGCCCTAGAGAGAGAAGGTGCGAAGAACACATCCTAGAAGCGATCTTGGAGATCATCATAGGAGTGAAAATCATTATCCCAGAGCAGATTCTTCCCATTGTTATGAGTATGACTGTTTTATATTTTGTTTTTCCCTCTCTCTCTATGGAGTAGAACTCTCTCTCACTTGGGTATGAAGAACCCTAGTTCCATGTGTTAGTAATCTTGATTGTAATTACGTTTGGATTGTGATACTGCTTGATTATAATTGATTGAAGTGTTTGGAATGAGTCAATTGAAGTTTGATCACCTTTTATTGATTTCTGTTGCAACCTGAGATAGATAGAATCTGATTAGGTGGTTAGAGCTTCTTCAATTGGTAGTAGTGAATCGATTATACGAGAGTTAGTCAATTCACTGCTTTGTACTGGAATCTAATTCCAGTAGTGGAGTTTTGTGTTCATGGCCTCGGCTTTCTATCCTGGTGAAGAATAGTCGTCTGCCGGGTAGTTGGACTGAGGGGGCTTGGTCAGCTTAAGAGATTCCAAGCTACTGTCACCAACCCCTCGCCGGAATCCTCTCCCCCTCGCTGGTAAAAACCAAGACTTTTGATTTTTTTGGCGATTTTCTGCCACTTTTGGTCGGTTTTTCACCAAACCACCACCCAACCTAATCTTCCCTCCTCCTTTTCGGCATTTACCTTGCTTTTGGGGCGATTTGGGCCGTATTTGGGTCACCGGAAGCGATTTCCGGCGAGACTCTGGCGAGGCTCCGACCTGCATTTTCGGGCAGATTTTCAGGTTTTCGTCGCTTCCATTGCCTTCCCCTCATCACCCCCTACACCTCTACTTGTGTCTCCAGGTTTGATTTTGCCCTTTACCTTGTGATTTGTGGAGAATTGGGTGTTAGGGTGTACTTTTAGAGAACCACTTTGAAATGTGTGAATTGATTGAAATTGATTGAAAGGAAGGCTTGGTTTATGTGTGGATTGTGTTGGGCAATGTTTCCCTTGCTTGATTGAGCTCTTGTATGCTATGAATTTACCATTCTATGCTTAACTTAAACTTGCACACAAGGTATTCGATGAAATGCCAGTTTTTTATACCATTTTGTGGAAGCCGGTTGGGGCCCTTAATGATGTGCTTTGATGGTGTATTTGCTATGGATGTGAACCTTAAGTGGCCTACTTTATTGTGGATGTGCACCGCCACCCAGATTGTGCTTGTTTGATCGATTTATCAACCCCCGAACTATGGATGAAACTATGGTTCGACTATTTTCTATTTTCTATTTTCAAGTGTGGGGGTGTGATTGACCGTTTCTATGGCTCTTTTGGCTCCACTTTGGTTTGTTTTCTTTCAGGACCATGTCGAAGACTGATCTCAAGCATTGGTTCATCTGTGATTTGAAGAGGGGCCCCCACAAGGATCGCTTTAAGCGCGTCCAAGTATCAAAGTTTGGGAGGCACCACTACTGGTCCAGGAGGGAGTTTCAGAAGCTGATTTGCTTCGATCACTTCCTCAATATTGCCACCAACCGCGCATGGTGTCGGCTGTTGTCTCTACACGAGAAGGTCTACTACGAGTTGGTGCTAGAGTTCTACACGACCTTTAGGCACGCCGACACCACCGATTGGACGGACAGCGAGGCCGTTAAGTGCAGGCTAGGTGGTGAACCTCGCTCTATGAGCCACCACGATTTGGCTATCGCTCTAGACCTCGGCCTGGACGACGACGAGGATTATGTCACCGAGCTCAATAGTCTAGCCGTTGTATGCTTCAAGGCTTTGTACGCGCAGCTCGCTCGACCCGGTCAACCTCCCATCCAGCTCGAGAATCGTCTGCTACACCACATGCTTGCGAAGTCCTTCACTCCAGCTGGAGATAGTGCCAGTACCCTGACTAGGTGGTCCATGTACTTCATCCACTCCATCCGCACTGCGAACCATGATCTCCACCTGGGTTCTGTGGTGGCGAGGACTCTGGACAAGAGTGATGTTAATATGGGGACCCTCCACCAAGGTTCTAAAAGGCGCTAAGCGTAAGGCAGGCGCTCGGCTCTTGACTTGCGCCTTGCCCGATTAGGCGTAGTCTAGGCGCGCCTAGGCGTTTAGAGCATAATGGAAAAACTCTCAAATATTTCATATTTTCTGGTATAATTCATATAATCTAAGTGCATATAAAATTAGCAATGCCTAGTTCTTAACAGTAAACACTTAACATAACAAATAACAAACAAATAGTGACCAATCATCTGCTAATAGGTGCTTATAAAGGTAAGAAGCTTGTGCTACGTACCGAGGAGAAGGAAGGAGCAGCAATTGACGAGTTTCGACTTTATTTCCCACTATAGCAGCGAAGTGATGTGAAGGCGAGAAGAGTGATTGATGACTTTCTTCGACGGCGGCAGAGAGCAGCAAACGGAACGAGAGCTAGGGCGGCAGGTGGTCGCAGATGGGGCGAGAGCTAGGGCGGCAGGCGGCAGTAGATGTTACTTCCCGTGTTTCTGATTTTCTAGGGCAAGAGGCAAGTTTCTGATTTTCTAGGACAAAACGAAGAGTATTGGGTTTAACAGCCTAAGCTCGCCCAGGAACGCCCAGGCAGGCCTTCTCTCCACTAGGCCCAAACTAAGCGCTATTCCTACCTGCTAAGCGCTACCAGCGCCTTTTACAACCCCTATGGCCAAGTCAAGGCGATCCTCCACCGCCTAGCGCCTAATTGAGCCTAGGTGTGCGGCTAGGCGCGCCTTCTTGAACCTGCCCTCCACTGCACCCCACTCATCACCCGCCTGGCAGCCTATTTCCAGATCCCCTATCAGGATTGCACAGAGCAGGGAGACACTGCGGTTTCCGGAGAAGAGATGGTCTCGAAGATGTACCTGCTGCGAGTCGTGCGCGGCATCAAGTGGATTGAGGGGTTTCCTCCACCACCTCTCCCTGCGATGGATCAGCCCGCAGTTCCTGAGGATGCTGCCGCTGAGGATGACCATCCCGATGATGGAGACGCTGCTGCCGCCCACACCGCCCCATACCACACCTCCTATGAGTATGGGGGTAGTAGCTCCGCATTTCCATCCCAAGACTACTTCACTCATAAGTTCCAGCAGCTGAATCTCTAGAACCAGTAGCTCCTCGACCATCATCTCCAGTTCCAGCAGCAGTACTTGACTCCCCAGGCCGAGTATAGCACCCGGATGGCTGCATATGATGAGCGCCTCGACCGCATGCAGGCCCGGCAGGGGGTAACCCTTGCTCACATTGAGAGGGAGCGTGGTCGGGCTCGTCGTATGCAGGAGGTTCAGAAGCACCTGCTCTAGCAGATACCGGGCGAGCACCCAGTCTAGAGGACTCCCTGGGAGGATTCCCCACTCCCACCTCCGCCAGCCAGTGACGATGCTTTCATGGACGACATTGACTTGGACAACCTCGGCGACGAGTAGGCTGTACTCGTCGCTTCTTTGAGTGTGTTTGTGTTTGGGATTTTTCTTGTTTGCTCCATGTGTGTGAGGATCTTGAAATGAGTCATTTGTGTGTTTGTTTTTCTTTAGTTGGATTGTTTGTTTTGTGCCCATCTGGGCTAACACTGATCCCTAACGCACAGTGTGCTAGTGTGTTGTTTGTGTTCTCATCGTGCAGAATTGTTCCATCGTTCCGTCTGTCCCCCGCTGACTGGTCCATTTCCAGTCTCCGGTAGTTTTACATCCCGGTAACATCGTTCCCCTTCTCTTTCCCTCATCTCCATTGAGGGAAATGTCGTGCTTAAGTGTGGGGGGTGTTTCTCTATCTTTGACTGCTGGGTGAGTTGTGTGCTTGGAGCCTAGTCCGTTGTCCAAATCTCGAGATTTGAGGGCTCCAAGTACTGCTGTTTGCTTGATCATATTGGCACTGTGTTTAATGATGAATTGATTGGCTGTTGGAATTGATGCATGACAACTGGATCGTGACTAAGACAACCTATAATGATGACTGAGACATGTAGTAGAGTTATGTAGGGTTTCAGTTTTTCAACTGTTTGCTTACCAACTGTGACTTGGATTGATCACTTGCTCTTGATAGTCGTTTATGCATCTAGTTCAGGGAATCAGAATGAGAGATAGAGCATATAGGTAGCCATGTGAGATTTGAGCCTACTCGTTTCTTTCTTGTGCGATAGATCCCTCTTCCATGATGTGTAGCATTCACGTTGTCACTAATTAGGATGATGAAGGCATAGGAATAGCCCACGACCAAATTGACTGTCCCGGTGTGTCATACCCCCTAGTCAGCCCCTTTGAGCCGTGTCGCTTTCTTTCTTTCGGTCTATAATGGAAAATCACCCTTTTGCATCTCTTAGAAGGTTCCACAAAGTGGTTTTTGCATGTTCTCTGCTGCTCTACTAAAAATAATGTGAGGGTTGGAGGTAGTTCTTATAAGTTGGGCATGTGTTTGAAAAATTTGCAGAGGTGGTGGTTCTCTCAAGAAATGAAAATAAAAGAAAAAAATGAATGAAATCAAAAGAGAGCCACCACCAAAAATCTGAATCGTGCCCATTAAGTAGTGTTTTCTTAGCAGTCTAGCTGAGAAATGCTAACATTATTGTGACCTCCTTCGCTCTTGTGCTATAAAGAACTTGAGTAATGTAGAATGGCAGAAAGAAAGTAAGTGGTTTGAATGGCTGTGAATGTGTTGAGTTTGGAACTGTGGAACCTTGTGTTATTAATACTTCCACCACCTAAAAGGCCTTTTCCCCATGTCCAAGACCCTAGCCAATCATCTGATCCTGTGTCTAAGACCTCTGGATTAGTTAGTGGTGACATCCCTTGTGTGAACTCTAACATTTAGAGGTTTTCATCATGGTGAAGAGACGTTAGGGATTGAGAGAAGAAGCATGCACATTTTTCGCATCAAATTGTCCTGACCCCACTGGTCGAGATTGAGCGATTCATTTTATCATATACTCTATACTCTTTACCCCGGTGAGGACCTAGATTGCTCGTTCTTAATTCTGATGTCTTGAGTGTTAATGGTCAAAAGCCAGTATGATTCACGTGTTGTGTGCCGATATGATATGTCCCCAAGGGTCGCAAGATTTAAAATGTTTTGAGCTGGCCTTGTTCTGACTTGGTTTGCTTGGGGACAAGCAAACGGTTAAGTGTGGAGGAATTTGATGACTTGATATATTCACGTGTTTTCGTCCACCATTCTTATACCGTTTGAGTATTCTTTCTCATGTTTTAGGCCGATTTCACGCTAGGTTGTTCTTGTTTGTGATATTTCAGGTCCTAGTACGTGAATGAAGGTACGGGCATGAATTCGGGGTCGATTGGACGAATTCGGGACGTTCGGTGAGAAGTTAAGGAATCCACACGGCCATACCTATAAGCCACACGGCCATGTGGCGTGGCCGTGTGAAACCCTTTGGCGCGGCCAAACCATACTGGCCGTGTAGTGGAACCAAGGTGGCCATGTGGAATGTCTAGAGTTGTCATACGGCCAGGTCAGGATTTGACACGGCCGCGTGGTCCTGGCCATGTGACGTGTATGCACTCAGTTAAATGAAATGCGGCGTTATACGCCGCCACACGGGCAGCTGGAATTTTCACACGGTCGTGTGACCTGGCCGTGTGGTCGGGAAGTTCTGGGTTTTAACCCAATTTCGGGTCTTTTAAGATGGGATCGAGTTTTTGAGCAAAAAACAAAGCCCTAGAGAGAGAAAGTGCGAAGAACACATCCTAGAGGTGATTTTGGAGCTAGGTTACATCAATCAAGCTTGGAGAACATCATAGGAGTGAAGATCATCATCCCGGAGCAGATTATCCTCATCGTTATGAGTATGACTACTCTGATTTCTATTTTCCTCTCTCTCTCTCTCTCTATGGAGTAGAACCCTCTATCACTTGGGTATGAAGAACCCTAGTTCCGTGTGTTAGGGATCTTGATTGTAATGACTTGGGATTGTTATACTGATTGTTTTCAATCGATTGATGCATGATTCATTGATTCAATTAACGTTTGATCATCTTTTCTTGATTTCTGCTGCAACCTGAGATAGATAGAATCTGATTAGGTTGTTAGAGCTTCATCAATCGGTAGTGGTAGATTGATTATACGAGATTTAATCGATTTACTGCTTTGTACTGGAATCTAATTCCAATAGTGGAGTTCTGTGTTCATAGCCTCAGCTTTCTATCCCAGTGAAGACTAGTCATCTGCCGGGTAGTTGGACAAAGAGGGCTTGGTCAGCTTAAGAGATTCCAAGCTACTGTCGGATCTCCCGCAGTTTAATCAATAGTGAATCAACCCAGGGTAATTACAACCGTGACCTAACTAAGGAGCTAGGGGGACTCATTCCCGAGTGACTCTTTCCTTGCTAAAGAACTTGAACCATTTCCTGCTTTCTTACTGCGTTTAGTTGAAATCACAATCACTCGACTTAGTTTGCTAGATAGTAGATAAACACGGAGTAGGCAGTAGATCTAGACCCCGGGTTGACAAATACAGCTTGCCACTTTACTGCATTTCCGGACTGCGATTACACTTGGTCTCAGTTTGGTGTTGTGTTTTAGCATGTCAGTAATGCTCTGCGTCTGTATACTCATGATACTGGTCGCTATTATCCTTCTGAGTTCCACTCTGGCAGACTTCCTAATGATCTCAAATTTCTGCACTTCTATATATCTCGACTCTTTCTGCCTAGGTCTCATGTCCTCACCACAATCTATCCTTCGAATATGTGGATTCTTGCTAGTGCCAAGGAGAATCGAGTTATAAGCTATCCTCACCTTATGTTCGATCACATGCTGAACTATCATGCTGACAACTATGATGTTGAGCTTCCCTTTGCCCCACACATCACCCAAATTCTGTTGGCCTTAGGTTTGGATTTGCGCTTTAAGGTAGCTCGTGTGGATATACTCAATTCTCTCCGTGCTCAGTTCGTCCTGCGTAAGGTAGATGCGTCTGTTGGTCGTCGTCACCCTCTGGTCAATGCTCCAGGGGGAGGAGAAGCTGCTCATGCAGTTCCTTCACATGAGGATGGAGATGAGGATGGACTCAGCCTTGCTGAATTAGGTGGGGATGAAGCAGAGGAAGAACCAAAAATAGCAGATCTGGTTGGAGCGGTCAGAGACAATGGTAAACGACCAATGATGCATCCCTTGGAGGCTATTCAAGTCATGTTCAGGCGGGAGGAGGAAGCAAGCAGCAGTGGGAATCTGATGATGGAGGATGAAGATGCCATATCAGATTATGTTCCATCTCCAAAATATTCATTTTAGGGTGAATAGTAATCTTAGGGGGAGTTTGCTTAGGAAAGGGTGTTTCATGATATGTCTGAGATTAAGTTGGTAGCTTCGCGAAGAGTCAATCATAGAGTCTGTTGTGTTGATGCTTTAATTAAGCTCTGTCTGTCTGAGCTCGTGTCAGTTTGAGTTTGTGTATGAGTGTCTTATGTGCTAGTTTTGATTATTTAATAAAATCTCCCTCGTTAGAGTTTCACCTTGTTCGATTCTGCTTGGCCAAACATTTTAGAGCAGTCTGCACGTAACTGGGCATTAAAGTGTGTGCAGGAACTTCATATGCAGCTGAGGGGATCATTGAATGGCTTAGGGAGAGAATGTTGTAAGCAAGCCAGTCATTAATCACAAATCAAGAGAAGGAAACCCTGGCCATCACGAAGTTGCATTTGGAAAGAATCATTGGTGCAAGGGTGGCAGATTCGGAGTAGCAGAAGGATTACCTTAGACAAGCAAATCAGGAAAGGAATTCGAAAAAGGAAGACTTACCTTCCCTGAGGATCAACGACTAGCTACTGAGGAGTACAAAAAGCACACTCGGAATCAAGCGAAGTTACTTTTCTGGAGATCAATTGGTACTAGAGTGCAAAGGAGTTTGTAAGAGGCGATTGATAAGAAAAGTTACTCTAATTCAAGATCAGGAGTGATTGGGTATTAGAGGGTGTGTTGGAACACAAGGTAGCTGGATATCTGGGTTGGGAGAGTAGTTATAGACAGTCTCAGATTATCCTTCTTGGAGTGGTTGGTTAATCGTGTCGAGAAGAGTGACTTTATTTTGGAGCTTCAAATCAATCATACTTAGTGAATTGGCGAGAATCACAAATCAGTGATCTCTCATCCGTAGAGTAGTCAGAGTTGGGATTCATTTTCTCCCAGCTCTGGAAACCACATAAAAGTGCATGTGTCTGTTTGATTCTTTTCTTTTCAATCTCTGCTTTTTGTTCTTGCTCTGGTTCTGCATCTTTAATTGGTTTCGTTGAGTACAGGGAGACTAAATTCGAGAAACAGAGAATAAGAGCTGACTGATCGATCTTGAAACGTACAACTTTGTATAAGCAAGCAAGCAGAAACGACGGGCCTGACTTCGTATCATCAATGGATCTGGGCTCAAGTGAATAAGCTCACTATCCATAAGCCTGCTCAGTAACATCTTCTCCGTTGTGTTTACAATTGATTATCGATCTACATCATTTCCATTTTCATTCTTCACTTGTTTTAGCAAAAGACAGAGTTAGGGTTCGTAGAGAAATTGACTAGAAGAGAAGCAGGCATCTCGCGCTCGATTCCTGCAACACACTTCGGGTGAGACAGAGGGCCTCCTAGTAGTAGGGATTCGTCGTTTTTGTTTCACACAATGAATGGCGGAGGAGGAATATGGTGAAGGAGTTTATTAGAGGGTATGGAGTTCCGATCAGAGACGGTGGAGTTTGCCGGAGCAGTTTGGTAATCTCTAAGTATTCTCGTTGGAGCAGTTTGGACCGAGAGCTCGAGCCTCGACGAAGACACTCCTCAGATTTTCTTTCGTTTTGATTTTTTTTTTTTGTTTGAGGATAAAAATAAAATGCAGTTAAAAATTAAATCAATTTAAAGTTAATTACTGGAAAATAAAACAAGTAGAAAACGGTTGTTGTTTCCCTAGGTGTTTCCATCTGTTGGGTAGGGTTTCAGTTTGGAAAATTGTGGGTTGTGATGGATCATGGGCTCGAAATAAATACCTGCCATGTCACAACAGCTCCATGTGGCCCAATCATATTCAGCGTCACCGGTGTCGCACTTTTTACAGCGACATTGTAGTATTGACCTTTAGCAAATGAAAAGAATTTATTTCCACAGATAACCTTTCCCTATACACCAAGAGACATTTTCTTGTTCAGTTGGACTTGATTTTTCTGTTCACTGCGCCCTGATTGGTTGCTCGCCTGCGGTGGGTCCCCCGTATCCACTTTCCCTCTGCTGGCCTCTAAATTCGCCTCAGTGGCTTTCTCCCATTTGTTACATTGGATGACTTTAGTGGCCCAGAGGCATCGCGTTGGCCTCAAGTGACCATCAAGAGGCTTTGATGCCCCTCTGTTCCCTCTCTTAGTGGACCCTCTTTTAGACACGCAAAAACCTACTTGGTGGTGGGGTAATCACGTAGCTCATTTTTGTACACTCATTTCACCAACCCTCCCGTTGTGACCACTTTCTTGATTGTTCTCACTGCAAACCGAAAAGCAACTGAGAGAATCCTTTTATACTCTTTCTTCTCTCTACTTTCTCTGAACTTTTCGGATGTGAGGGGTCGCCTAAGAACCGGCAATAACCCTCCAGATGGCCATCATTATCCGAAAATCCCTGCCTCCGATTGTGAACATCTTCACCTTTACCTGGCAAGCGACCGATGAGCAACTGCCATTTGAGGTCAAGGAAGTCGTAAGATTCCGGTGAGCTATGGATCTCTAAATTTTTGTTTCATTGTTTTTTCCAATGAGCTCAATGGTAGCCTCATTTTTTTCTCCCTTTTTTTATCAGTGAGGATAGACGGGGAATCAACAATATGCTTGCTCGGTTTTTTCACGAGGGGTCGATGTTGGAACGACAAAACTCTCCCATTTTCTCTTCCGGCACACCCATTTTTGGTGTTCCGCTTGGTTCTGATGAGGCCCAAGTAGGGTCCCAATTGACTCACAAGTCGCGCAACAAGCTCGATCAATCAAAGAGATTGATCAAGAACAAAACAGAGTTTAAAAACAAGCTCGGATAGGCTTGTTTGAGGTCGAATTGGATTGAAACAAGAGGAAATTCTTATACCTGGAAGAATGCACAATCATTATGAGGTTTCCTTCGATGTGCCTGAATGGGATCTCTCAATCGGTAGGCTAGGGTTCAACAAGTTTTGTACGCACCAAAACCCAATCAAACTCACAAGCTTGAGAATTAGGGCAAAAATTGATCTATTCCATTCTGAATTGTACAATCACGATGGAAGCCTTTTATAGGCAAAAAAACAAACTCACACAAAGCTAAAACACGTCTTAGAACAAACATAATTCAACAAGAAAACTAATTCTACAATGAATCCTTATTGGACTCGGATTTCCTTTTGGGACTTGGATTTCCTCCCAGTTTTTGTAGCTCCTTTGGACGTCTGGCAAATGGTCCAAATGGTCTCAAATTCTTCAGCCAATTCCTTTGGTTTGTATTATGAAACTCATACTTTCATGTGGCATTGCTCTCTGTCTTTGGCTTTCCTCCATCTGGCTCGAATTAAGCTTCAAAGATAGCTTCACAATCACAATTCTTGCCTTAAGTCATTTTTAGGCAGTTTCTCGGTTTTGACATAGTACTTTGGTGAGTTTCGACAACAACCTTCCAGGCTTCTCTTTGAGCATCCAAAGATTCCAATGTGTAGAAGAACACTCTAGCTTCAAAACAACCTCTTAAACTCATATTGCACCGAGCCAATTGAGAGAACCAAGCCTCCAAAGCTGGTAACCCGAAACACAAAAAATACTTAGCCAAAATTCAAACTCCTTCTACCCAATTGACCTTGCTTCTTGATCAATCCATGGAAGCTTATAATGAAAGCAATTTGGGATCATATGAGGGTCCCTTGTTGAAAAAGTTTTGCCCTCAAAGCTTGAGTCTTTTTCTTCTCGAAAGAGTCACAAAATTGATCCCAAATTGTATCCATTGTAGGCTGGTCGAGAAGAAAAAGACAATTCCCTAACAATTTGCAATAGTAGAATGCAACTCTCTCTCTCTCTCTCTCTCTCTCTCTCAATATTCAAAAGCTCTGTCTTCTCTCTAAACTGTAACTTTTCAGTCCTCTGTTTTGTGTATAGGGTTGCCGCCGGTGCCTTCAAGGTGTCGACGGTGGCCCTCCCCCTCTTTATTTCCAGTTTTTTTTAATGTTTTTAGCTTTCGTTCCTTTGTTTTTCTGATCTCAGTGCTTCCTTCTTGGAGCTTTTCTCTCTTCCTCTTCTTTGAAGATGGATGTTTCCTTTCCTCCTCATGTTTGATCTACCAGATCTGAACATTGAGATGATTTTGCTTGAGACAGAGGGGGTTGGGATTCTCTCAACTAGCTTTCTCGGTTCTCGAATATGAGCCTCCTCCTTGTTTCACCTCTATGGCTGGGTGTTTCGGAGAAGCTTCTGGGAATCCTATTGTGACTCTCCCTTGGTTTCAGCTTCGGGTAACTTGAAGGCGGGGAACATTCAACATAGGGGCTCAAGATCTGTTTCTTCCTGGAGTCTTCTTCGATCATCTGTGTGCGTCTTCTGTGGGTGGTTTCGTCTCTTCATGTTATCATTTTCTGGTGTTGCAGCTGATGATTCTGTTTTTGGGCGATCTTCCCTGGTGCTGTGGGCATGCGATGTTGATTGAAGGCTGGGTGGTTCATCAGAGGTGGATCTTGGATCACGGCATGGATGACCACGACGGCTGCTCATGGAATGGAAGATTGATTTTGGGATTAGGGTTTCTTGTTCAGACCATAGTCTGGTTGGGCTTTGCTTTACTTGGAGTGGTTTGTCTGTTGGGCTCTTGTCCTTATGTAGTTTGTTCCTTCCTTGGGCCTGGCCCATGTATCTGTCCACTATTGTGGAGTCTTTATTCAATGAACTCCTTATTAAAAAAAAAGTAGGCTGGTCGAACTGATAACACCCTCGTCGGTGTTTGGATTCTGAACTCGAGCTTGGGAATTCAAGCTCTGAAATTCGTCGAACAACTTCAACCACTTGTCGAAGAAGAATGAAGATAAAGATGGAATTCAATGTGCAATCCTACACCTGGAGGAAGGCTCAACAAATATAAGTCGATGCTCGCCCACGATCAATGCGATTTTGATCAATGCAAGAGCTCAATCGAGCTTGGTTTTCCCGGCCAAACTCTCAACCAAAACTAGCTACGAAAACTTAGTTTTAGGGTTTTAATCTCAATCAATGAACCAACTGATGATTACAAGCCCTTCGTGGGGTTTAAATAGAACCTACCAACAACCTAAAACAACAAAGGAATTCGAATTAAACAAGGAAATTATAAACAGTCCTCATCCTAATGCAACAAGGAAACCAAATTTTGCCTTAAGTGACACAATTCAAGGAACATGGGATGCCGCTGTTACTTTATAGGAAAAAAAAAGAACATGGAGGAATTCAAAAAACATTAGCGAATTAATAGTTGTGACTGAAATACAACGAGTTGTTGTTTCACTAAAGATAATCATGCATATTGTGGGTGAGGGTATGAACGGAAGATAATTGACGACAATGCATACTCTCTGTAGCATTCAGATTAACAAACTAATCATCTGTTAATCACTAGTGATCGACTAAGACTATAAAATTCATCCTTATGTCTTGTGAGCTCAGCCGAATTAAAAGCTCACAACTAGATTGGAAGAGATAGGTTGGATGGGTTATTGAGGTCGCTATCAATCTAGAGAGTGTTGGACATGTACAAGAATTTTTTGTATTAGAATCCTAGAATTTTGTGGACGATACGTTTTTTTATGGAAGGGAATGAAGGGTTGATGGTAGATGGCTAGAAAAAATTGTAAGAAGATGAGAAACAGTAAGACCGTGGAGTGGAGTACTAAAATGCCATTTGGGGGAACTTAGTGGTTGAGGCGGGAGGGGCATACATGTACTTTATTTTTTTTAATAAATAGAATTTACAATACAAAATGAATTTAAATAATTTATGTAATCAGTAATAAAATCGTTCAAATGGGCTTTTAAGTTTTTTATTTTTATTCTTGATACGGATGCATATATTGAATTATATGTAATAATTTTTTAAATACAATTATCAATATTTTATTAATGCTTTGAATGTATAACTCTAGATAGTAGACGCTCTTTGGATCTTGCTCGCTCTTCCGTTCAATCGTCAGTAACATAAAGTAATTCGGTCAATGGGCCGAAGAATAGCGAGTTAAGATAAGAAGATGAGTTAATACATTAGTTTGGACCGAACTATACACAAATTTTCTACATTGGTCCGTGGTTTCGGAAATTGCTCTTCTAGCCTGAACTATGTACCATACTTCCTTATTTTGGTCGGAGGCAGGTTTGACCATCAAATTAAAAGGTCAACGGAGTTAACCGTTAGTCAATGACCAGCTCACTTGCCACGTCAGCAAGCAGAGAAACAGAAAAAATTATTTTTAGAATTTCTGTATTCTTTTTCTTTTCTAATAATAATAAATAAAAAAATTCATAACCCCCAATTATCGCCTCTCCACTCACCTTATCCTAACGGCATCGGGAAATAATTCCCTTAGTCGTCCAAACCCAACTTCTTCCCTGAAACCTCCTTCCCCCGACGATTCCCCTTGTCGATACTCCGGAAAAAATGCAGCGGTGGCCGGTCGGTTGAAGACGCCGTCGTCTTTCAGTGAACATTTTCGGATCAATGAGGCGGTCCCTGGTGATCCACGACCACGACTTCAGTGGACAACGGCGGAGGAGGGTTCAGTGGATTCGTGAAGAAGATTTGGGTCCAGCATTCGTAAATCCCGAATCGGCCTCTTCAATAAGCCCTCCTTCCCTCTGGCGCTTTTTGTTGAAAGGTAATTTGCAATTACCTATGGTAAAGAAACATGATTAATGATGCAACCCACAATGTCTTATGCAAGATAAAAATAATGAAGTTAAATAAATGGAGCGGGCATGGCTTGGTTGAGAACTCATATCCATGTCAATTCCATCTGTTAGAAAGAAGAAGCCAAAATCAAAATAATGCAAGAGACAAGGAGATTAATGCTTGGAGTAATGAGTAGACCAATTGAATTAAGTGATGTTTCCATCTACCACAAGTGGTAACGTGCATGGAGAAAGAAATGGAGCCAATAGCATTATTAGTTTTTCTTCCATTGTAATATAAATGTGTATGTATGGGTTTGCAAGAGATTGTCAGAGAGACAAAAAAAAGAAGAAAGAAGTCTCTGTGTTTATGTGTTTGTAAGCAACAAGAGCCAAAAGTTAAGGCCTTGTTTGTTTGAGTGATTTATAAAAAGAGTGATTAAAGACCAATTGCTCTTTTGTTTTGATCCTAAATTACCACTAGTTCCGCTAACACCCAACAAATTTGGTATCAGAGCAATTCCCTTTTATCCTTTAAAAATCCCTACTTTCTAGCCTACACATATTTTCTCCAAAAGCCATGGCAACAAATTCATCACACACCATGTTTGCTACCTCATCAAATCAAATTCCCATTTTCGATGGAGAATTGTACGAGTACTGGAGTGCCCAAATGAAGCCTATTTTCATCTCTCAAGATTTGTGGGATATCGTTCAAGAAGACTACGAAGATCCACAAGACGAGGATGATGATTCCAAGAAACAAGCAGGCAAAGGAGTACCAAGGAGAATGCCAAGTAAAATGCCAGCGCCTTGAGAATAATTCAGCAAGCAGTTAGCAAATTGATTCACCTGAGAATCTATGGCATCAAAAAGGCCAAAGAAGCTAGGGATGTCTTGCGTGAACAATTTAAAGGTTCTGAAAAGGCAATCTCTATCAGGCGCCAAAGTTTATGGCGACAGTTAGACAACTTGATGATGAAGGAAACCGACACCATCAAAGACTTCCACTCACGTGTTGCGGAGACAATCAACCAGATCAAAGCCACTAGTGACATCATGGAAGAAAGGAAGGTCGTGGAAAGAATTATCCGTAGCCTATCATCGAAGTTCGAACATATTGTTGCCGTGATAGAAGAAACCAAAGATTTGGCAAATCTACCAATGAGCGAGTTGATGGGCTCACTTGTTGCACACGAGCAAAGAATGAGTCGCTTCACCAAACCGCCATTGGAGCAAGCTTTATCGTCAAAAGTCAGCATGACAGAAAGTAAATATGCCAAATCGGAGCAAGGCCAGAGAGGGGGAAACTCACAAGGAAGAGGAAGAGGAAGATCCAATTACAGAGGAAACAACAGACAAAATTATCAACAACAAAGATCGAGCTACACCGGCTCGAGTTGCATAATTTGCAAAAAGGTGGGTCATGCAACAAAAGACTGCAGATTTAAGTGCACCAAGTACAGAATTCAAAACCACTCAAAGAGAGATTGTTGGTTCCAGAACAAGCAAGAAGAAGGCGAGTCAAGCGGCACCAAAAATGAAGAAAGCAATATGGTGGCCTTATCATGCTTGAATGGTGAGCAAAAATCACAGCTTCCCTAGATGGTGGATAGTGGTTGCAGTAACCACATGACTGGAGATCTGGAGTCCTTCACCGACATTGATGATCAATACCGCTTTCAAGTCAAGTTGGGAGACGGGAAGAAGCTAAAAGTGGAAGGAACATGCATAGTTGTTGTATGCACAGAAGAAGGTAACAAAACTCTCATACGAGATGTTTTGTATGTTCCGGAGCTAACTCTCAATCTACTTAGCGTGGGACAACTGATGCTGAAAAATTACAAGCTATTGTTTGATAATGGCTAGGGATGGCAAAAATATCCGTAACCGTGGATATCCACCCGAATCGGGTAGGGTAAAACCCGAACCCGAAAGACATTTAGTGGGTACGGGTAAAACCCGAACCCGAATATTGTGGGTAATGGGTGGGCATGGATTTCTCACTATCCAACCCGAACCCGCCCGATTATACAAATGCATATGTATTTTTCTCTAGATATAATCATTATTTTTCTCTAACATATTTTATATTTAGCATATAAGTATAATATTTTCATGAAATTGTGTTGTTTTAATTAATTTTTTCCATTCTAGTGAATTATTGTCGTACTTTTCCTCTTACGTAATGTGAGAATTCGTGTGAATGTTAACATATTGGTTGAAGTTATGAAGAGAAATGATTACCCATGGATAACCGTGGATACCCGAAACCCGAACGGGTATGGACATGGTTTTGATTTTCTACCCGTTTCACATGTGGGTATGGGTATGGGTAAAACCCGACCTACTTTGGGTAGGGTAACGGATATGCACTATCCGCCCCCGACCCATTGCCATCCCTAATGGATCCCATCAATTCCCCCGCCCGCTTCATCCATTTTTGAAAAAATAAACCTGGGTAGCCGCCACCGTCCATCTCTACGTACTCCACTCAGTCAAAGCCGAGTCCTTTGATACTCTAGCTGAAGAGATCCCAACCACTATCGAAGAGGCAGACCAACTGCTACCGGATGAGATTCATCTTCTTCGTCTCCTTCCTTCGCCTCCCCTTTATCCGAATTTCTCGTGGGTAACGCCGAGGCCGTGGAGTCTCTGAAATACCTGCTGCAGCAGAAGGTTGAGAGCCGGTAAGACGAGAAGGCACTCAAAATCCTGACTCGTCTCGTGGCTGCGCAATCATGCCGCTGAGGGAGAGCATCAATCTCCATCGCATATCGAGATATAAAACCTAATTGCGCTATGTCCTTGCATATTTCTTCCCTAAAAACCACCAGATCTCGGCATTTTCCAAAGATCCGGGCAGTTTTCAAAGATGTCGCCGCCGGAAATCGACGATGAGTAGAGGGGACAAGCGAATCTCCGTCGATGCTGCTGCAATTCCTCCCTCTGTTAGTCGCTGCTACGTTTGAATCGCTGTGCATTGTCGGACCACGGAGGCGAGCTGGACCGTATCAAGTGGTGAATGAATCAAGGCTAATGAGTGTGTTCGTCGATTGAGAGTCGGCGACAATTTTGAGTTGAGGTGGAATGGAAGTGGGATTTTTGCGAAGAGGAAAAGAGAAGAATGGGAAGGGGCGGATGGAGAAGATGAAAGGAATGGTCAAATAGGTTTTTTTAATAAATATAATTCATTTTATTTTCCACCATGGCATGTCACATAGACCAAATTAAATGCGGCTACATATTTCGTTATATTAATGGATGGAATGGCTATTTCTGTATATTTTTAAAATTTGGCTATATTTGTCATAAAGTGCAAAGTTATAGCTATAGAAGTATATTTTGCCTAAAAAAATTGAAAAATGGGCAAACGCCGCTGCTTATGATATTCTCATTCTTCTCAACTACATATCCCAATTGGCAATGGTCAACGGTGATTGGACCATCAGGCAGCTAGCTTGACTTGATCATGAGCAGTGTTGTCAAGTTGTAGTTAGGTCAAACATTTGGACCAGGTCCGATCAAATTCGGTATTGAAAACGACTCATAAAAACGTACCCTTTAAATCGATGCTGGTCAAAACCGGTCAGAATCACAATTTTTTTATCAAAACCTTAAAAAAAATCAATCGTCTGATTAGATTTGCAGGTTTCAAGTTCTTAGATAGAATGTTGCGTTTTGGTGAACTCTCAAACCCTATAATGAAAAATGGCTAAATTACATGTTTGGTCACTCAAATTATATAAATCTTTCACGTTTGCCACCCGAATTACTTTTTTTTCTTACTTGCCACTAACATTATGAATCGTTTCACCGTTGTCACCGACCGTTACACTTCGTTAAATTTGTCCTACGTGGCAGTCAACTATAAAGTTTGACCGTAACTAGATGACGTGGAAATTCAACAAAAATTATAAAAAAAATATTTTTCCACCTCATCAATCCACTTACTTTGTATATTAATTTGTCCTATTAATTATTTAATAAAAATAATATTAGCAATTTATTAAGACTCCTCCATTTAGTCCGTCTTCTCCCCTTGCCTTCTCTTCACTCTTCTTCAGCATAACAGAGCACTGCCTCAAGCAAACGAAGCATCAAACGAAAGAGCAAAACAAGACAAATAGAATAGAAAAAGGAACACACGAAAGACTAACACAAGAAACCCAGAGCTTACAGTTCCCATTTGTTTCCCTTTCCGGCGGTGGAATTCCGGCATAGTCCCACCATCATGGTGAACCAGTGATTTAGGCGAAAGGGGTGATTCAAACACCATAACGAAGAGAAAGCAGACGTCTGAGTAGTTCAAGCCAGGTCAGTCAGGTTGGAAGGAAGGCAGAGAAAAATTAGGTCGATAACCAACAACATCAGCTAGCTTCTCGATGTTAGAGAGTGGTATAAGATCCAGCATAACCTTCTCCCAACAACTCGAGTTATTGGGATCAACTGGTTTATGGCATGGTATCAGAGCTGGTTTAACCAAGTGGTCGTGTGTTCGAATCTCCACGACCCCCAATATCAACAGTTGTTGTCTTCAAGCACATGGTATGGCGGGCTTGTGCAAACTTCAAGCCCATGAGTCGGCTTTCGTTTGAGGGGGAGTGTTAGAGAGTGGTATAAGATCCAGCATAACCTTCTCCCAACAACTCGAGTTATTGGGATCAACTGGTTTATTACACTCGACGGGTCATTGGGTCGACGAATCGGGAGCACTGATTCTTCGACGTGCTCAGTTCGGGATGTTCTCTCGAGCCGGGAAGGTTCAATGCTTCTTCAATCGTCTCCGAGATGCTCAATTGCTTCTTCGTGTTGGAAAATCCCGACGACTATCAGCTTCTGGCGAACACCGTCGATTCGATTCTCCCAAACAACCACCGTTGGATCGTGAGCCGATTCGTCTCCTTCGTCGATCGACCCACATTTCTCCTGCTCGCCACCCTCACAAGCTTGGTCCACCCTTGAGGAATGAATTTGTGTTGTCGCCGCTGCGAAGTTCCGACGAAGCGAAGTTGAAGGAGAGGAAATAGAGTATATCAACCATCACCATGGCCTCTACAATTTCTTCCTCCCGCTGAGTATTAAATTTTGTAATTTATTTAATTTTTATTAAATAATTAATATAATAAATCGGAAGTTGAATGTTGAGGTGGAAAAATATATTTTTTTAATTTCCACGTCATCTACTTAACGGTCAAACATTATAGTTGACTACCACGTAGGACAAATTTAACGGAGTGTAACGGCCGGTGACTAATGATGAAACGATTTGTAAAGTTAGTGGCGAATGAGAAAGAAAAATAATTCAAGTGGAAAACATGAAATATTTGTATAATTTGAGTGACCAAACATGTAATTTAGTATATAAAAAACAAAACAAGTATAAACAACTTTAGGATCATATAATATATTGATTGTAAATTCATTGTATTGTACCTATAAAATCTTAAATTATTATCATATATATGCATTTATTTCTATATTATGTATAAACCGATTTAAATCAATCAAATCCGATCATACCAATAAAATCTTAAATTATTTGTTTCACCAACTCAAGAGTTTAAATCGGTTCGACAAATTTAATTATAAGACGATTGTGAAACAACAAAAACTTCACCGGAAGTATCAAATACCCACATACAAAAAAGGCTAATTCCACTAGAAAGCTCAAACTATTCAAAAAGTGTCACTTGTGTCATAAACTATTCAATATGACAAATCTTGCACGAACTATATGTGTTGCGTCACATTTGTGTCCTAAACTTATTCAATATGACAAATATAGTATAAACCACATTGATGCTGACTAGATTTTCTGATAAACACTATCTATGCCGGTCAATGTCAATAAAAAATAGTTCGTACCAAATTTGTCATATTGAATAGTTTGGGATACAAATAACACTTTTATAATAGTTTTATAAAAGTTTGAGGTTGCTGGTGGAATTAAAAGGGAAAAAGAGAAGTAGTAGCGGCACGTGCCGGCCTGCCCCGCCCGCGGTAAAGAGCCGAATCTGGATTTGCCCACGACTTTTCGCCACTTGCAGAGAATCAAACGGCTAACATTTTAGATCTCACATCGCCCGTCCGATCTTCATCCAACGTCCGAGATTAAATCTTGTTCCCCACCTTCTGATTCGTTCACACGCCATAAGTTCTCCACTCCGCCTCTCACTTCCCCAAAAACCTCCCTCTTTCTAAATTTCTCTCTCAGACCAAAAAAGAAAGAAAGAAAACTAACCTCTATTCTTTCTCTCTCTGTCCACTATTACCCTGCGCACTCCGCCACTGCTTAACCTGCGCCCTATGTCGCCGGCGGCGGCCACTTTTGTTCTGTCAATAATTCGAATCTCGCGCTATAGGAGTACTGAATAAGAGGAGAGTTCCCCCAGAAAACAAGCGCTCGTCCCTCGACCGTCATTCATTTCCCCAGATGGAAAGCCAAACCAAGCTCACGAGAAGCTCGTCGTCGTTTCTGCGTTCTTCTTCGACCGTTCGATCGTCAATCCACAGCCTGTCTTCGATGGCGGAGGAGGATCTCACCACTCCGTTGAGACCGCCGGCGGAGGAGGACGACGACGAGAAGGATGATAAAGTGATGAGAGAAGATCGGCGGCGGAAGCCTCACCGGTGCGGGTCTAGCTCCACTCCGCGGAGGACCAGTTCAAGCCGATTCACGCCTGTTATAACCATGTTTACCATCGCCTTCTTGTCTTTCTTCTCCTTCTCCTTCTTTTTCTTCTTCTATTTGAGAAGGGAAGATACACCTACCTCTGAGAATTTGCTTTTGGGATTGGTTTTCATTGCCGTAACCCTCTTTTTGGCAAGCAAGAACAAGAGCTTGATTAACCAGAATCTGACCTTGATCAAGCAAATTTGGGACGACAATGGAAGGAGATTCGGCCTATTCACTTCCAGAACCAAGGCCAAGCAGCAGGTGAAATGGTTCATCGGCGAATCAGATTCGGCGGCCAGCGCCATGAAAACTCACAAGGAGGAGAGGATTATTAGAGAAGGGGTGGAGTTCTACAGTAATGGCGATTACTACGAGGGCGAATTCCACAAAGGCAAGTGTACCGGGAGCGGGGTTTACAATTTCTTCGTTAGTGGAAGGTACGAAGGGGATTGGATCGATGGGAGGTACGATGGGCATGGAATTGAGAGTTGGACTAGAGGGAGTAGATACAGAGGGCAGTACAGACAAGGTCTGAGGCATGGCTATGGAGTTTACAGATTCTTCACTGGCGATTCGTATGCCGGGGAGTGGTGTAATGGGCAGAGCCATGGAGTTGGGGTTCAGACTTGCGCTGATGGTAGCTGCTACGTTGGTGAATTCAAGTATGGTGCTAAGCACGGCCTCGGTGTCTACCATTTCAGGTGAATTCCTTTGCCTGATCTAAAATTTCTCCACTTTCTACTATCACTTTCTTCAATTGAAAACTTTTTTTTTTGCCAGTAATGGGTGATTGAGTTTGGAGTCCTTTACTTCTTCACCTGAGATATGGTATTTGCAGTTGTTCGTAATTGTCTCTGATGGGTTCCTTTGTTCGACTGCTGGAGATGATGGTACTTACTTGGAGAGTCCTATTGGGGGTACGGAAGGACCCATAAATTCCCGTTTTGGGGGATGTTGGGGTTCATCTTGTGAGCTTCTTTATAATATTCGCGGTCAGTTAAAGGTCTTTACGGGCCATCAGGCCGTTAGTTGAAGTCATAAATGACAGTTGAGACTTGAGGGAGGCAGAAAACATTAAATGATCACAGTATATCAGTTCTTGTCCTAGCGTGTTTCCTGTTGTTCTCTTTAGACTTGCACAGGAGGCACTTATTGCTAGTTAGCATAGGGAAAAGGCCCGCTGACTTGATCATTGGGGGGGTTAAGGTTCCTGATCTTTGTTTTTTTAATAATGTGATACTTGATTGATTGACATAGAGAGGACTAAAGAACTTAAAGCACCATTTTCACATATATCTGAAAGACTGGATCTTATTTGTGGAATGTAGGAATGGAGATCGGTACGGTGGAGAATACTTTGGAGACAAGATCCATGGTTTCGGTGTTTACCATTTCGCGAATGGCCATTGCTATGAAGGGTCGTGGCATGAAGGGAGGAAGCAAGGTTATGGGATGTACACTTTCAGGAATGGTGAAAGGAGATGTGGGGAATGGGATGGAGGTACCATTAAGATTTCCTTCTCTCCGCAATCTGATGCAGTTCTTCGAGCCGTCGAGGTAAACTAATGCTTGATGGATTGATTCGATTATTTGAAGAAAGCAACTCTGTGGTTTGTTGTGTCCAACGAGAAATATAAACTAATTACTATGAACTTGTCTGCTGCAGTCTGCCAGGAGAACAGCTGCCAATGCAGTGAAAGTTCGAAGAGTGGACGAGCAAGTGAATCGTGCGGTTCATACTGCAAACCGGGCAGCTACAGCTGCTAGAGTGGCTGCTGTAAGAGCGGTCCAGAACAGGATGGATGGCAAGTTTTGTGATACCAACGTTTAGTAGGTTAGCTAACATGAGTTTTTGGGCTGCGCACTGGATTGAACAAGAAGAAGAAGATGAATGACTTCAAAAGGAAGGAAGAAAAATGTAAAGTTTGCCTTTTTTATTTTAGGGTTTCGGTTTTCTTACTTGCTAATTTAATGTAAGCTAAGCTGGGAAGCATGTTGTTGTGAAACACCCCGGTGAGCTGAGAAAGGAAAAGAAGGTCGCCGGAGGTTGAGAAAAGTGAGAGTGCTTTTGAGGCTCTCCTTCCCCTCCTCTTTCAAGTGTAATTTGTACATATTTCCCACTCGCCGCCATGTATATCGATCACTAATTGAAATATAAGTAGGAATTTTTCTTTTGTTTTCGAGTAGCAGTTGAACTAATATTTCAGTTGATTGCAGTTGAAATATAAGTGTTCATTTGATCTCATCACATTGGCTAATCGGTGATGGTGCATTGTTTCAAATTCATTGTTTGAATCAATTAATTATGATTATGATAGGCCCATTTCCCAAATGTTTGAAAACTCATGGCTTTCTTTTCTTTGTCACACTAGTTTCATGTCAAATATTTAAAGTGATGAGGATTCAATGTTCAATTATCTAATTATGATAGACGATAAACAATACAGCCCATCAACAAGGAGATATACAAATGTATAAATCCATGTTATTTTCAAGTATATCCATCTTATCTTACAGACTTGTAACATCAATCTTATTTCCTTTTTTTGAGCTATAATGAATGAAGAAGGGTGGACCATTATGATCATGGGATTTTTCAAAAACCAGAATAGGAGGTGAGGAGGGCCCACATAACAACAAAGAAGAAAAATAAAAAAAAAAGGGTGCTTTGGTTTGGACTTTGGACATAACATAATCTTCAAAATAGGTTGGCAGTTGGCACTCGTAATTATTATAATATTTATTAAAAACAGAAATATGAAGGGCGCTCAATTTTGTTTAGGTGAAGTGAAGATTTGATTTGTGCACCAAGAAAAATTTGGGCAGAACCGTCTTCTTTGACCTCTTCACCCCTCCTATCACCATTCACCACCAAATGACCAAATTTCGAACCCTCCAAAAGGGAAAAGACGCGGAAAAGAAAGACAGAAAGGATTACTAATGTCTATTAACATGACTGCAACTGAAATAAATAAATGAGAAAACCATATATCAATATCAACAACATACTTTGCTAATATCAGCCAAAGCTTTGAAGATAAGAAACAGAGCGGATACGGATGGCGACATGATGATTCGGAAAAATTAGGGACGCAGGACTGTTTCTCTCCTTCTACTACCGATGCAATCTAGTTATGCTCCTAACCATGGATTACGAAATCGTACCGGCCATCAAACCGGAATCGTTTTTGGCATGGTAAATCATGGTTCAACCGTTTCCTACCGGTAAATACCGTTTTTGGAATAAAAAAATTATTTTTTTGTTAAAAAACCGTACCGACAAAATTAGGGTACCATACCGGGAAAATAGCGGAATAAAAGCGGATTATACCGCCTGAGAAACTGTAAAAGAGTAAATAAGCTTAGGTAACATTCAACAAAGTGCGAGATTTCAATACCTAATAAACCTCAAAATCATCCAAATACATTTTTAGAAACTAGTACAAAAGCCACAAGCTTAATGTTCACAAACCACAAGCTTAATGTTCCACAAACCACAAGTTTAAACTTTAATGTTCACAAACCACAAGTTCAATGTCTCAAACTAGAAAGTAGAAACTACTAATTGGATCTTTTGTTTGAAATCAAATCCATATTTTCAAGCAACTCCAAATGTAGAAAAGTCAACATTCGGGAACTCGTCTCCTTCATCTTCTTCATCACTAACTACAATACAAAAAAAAAAACAAGTAAGAAACATTATAAATTATGACGTATTAGAATGATTTTTGTGCGCTACACTTATGATCTTGACATTAACAACCCATAAAAAAGAATTCCGCCGTAGAAAACCATAAATTACACCTGCAACTAGGTATGGGAATTACGAGGTCCACACAGACTAGGGATAAGAACAGTAATTGAAAAAAAAAAAACAGAATACAAGCTTCCCAAATTTGTTACAAACCGCTGTTTCCAAACAAATTTCAGTTTTCCGTGATTTAAAATGGATTTTGAGGTTGAAATGATTTTGTTTCTGCGTGCAGGGAAGAAGAACAGAGAGAGAGATCCACACCTGCAACTTGGATTAAGAAGAAGGAAGTGATGGCGGGGTCGCGGGAAAGTGGCGGCCACGATCTCTGATTGGAGCGATGAAGGGACCAACGGGAGATGATCGCCGGTGGTGTTGATCGCCGGTTGCTGGGGATGCAAAGCGGCGCGACGCGGGGAGACCAGAGCGGCGCTGCTGAGTGCTGGGAGAGAGAGACGAGAGGCAGGTAGGGTTTTGTGAGTCTCTGCTTCCCTTCCATTCCGTTTTTTTTCATCAAACGGCGCCGTTTGTGTAAAATGAAGGGACCGCCGGGTTGGTTTTAAACCGGCCGAAATTTCGGCCCATTGCGGTCCAACCGCAAATACCGCCCGGCGGGTTATTGAAGGGTACAAAGCCCTATTGCGCCGGTTTACCTCCGGTTTCCGGTTTTTCCGGTTCGACCGGCCGGTCCGGTAGGGTATCCTGGTCCTTGCTCCTAACATGCCAATTTGTTAGGAGATACTGACAGGGTAGGATAGATGGCCACGTCGCCAAGCCGCCATCCATCGGTGGAGGAGAAAACGCGCCATCCCGTGTGAGGGATGAGAGCCGATTCCATCGGTTGGGCCAAGCCCACTCCGGCTTGCGGGGCCCGCCGGGCCCACTAATTCAAAAACCCAAAATAAAATACCCTAAACCCTACCCTTTTCACGTTCTTCCCCAAATCACTTCCCCCCTCTCTCTCTCCCCCCCCCCCCCTTTCTCTCTCCCTTTCTTCCTCTCCCGAACGCAGACGAAGCGCCGCGCGGTGTAGCGAACTCGGCGGCAGCAAAGTCTGGCGGCGGCGACGATCTAGGCGGCGGCGGCGACCTTGCAGCGAAGGCGGAGATCTCGGCGGCGACCTTGCTGCGAAGTCGGAGATCTCGGCGGCCGTTGACGAAAGAACAACTTCATTAACCGAGGTAGTCGAGGTTTTTTTTCCCTTTTGGTCATGGATACTCATGTTCGTTTTCATAGCTTCGATTAGATCTGGGTTTTCCTTTTCCTACGTTTTTTCTGGATGAGTTTGATGGATTTGTTTTCTTGTAACTTAGATTTGACTAGATCTGGGTTGCTTTTTTATTTTATTTTGTTGATATGTTTTCTGGGTTTGTGGATTTGATTAGATCTGGGTTTGGGTTGCTGGGTTTGTGGATTTGACTGGATCTGGGTTTCTTTGTTTTCTGGGTTTTGTGGATATGTTTTGTGTGTGTTTCGATATTTGTTATGTTCGGGCAGGATATCAGTTTTCAATTGTTTGGATAGTTGTGTGGTTGAGATCTGGGATTCGAATTGTACATCCAAAACATTAGTTCCTTTCATAGTGGATAACAATTAGCATGCTTGTGGATATGTTTTCTGGGTTTGTGGATTTGATTGGATATGAGTTTGAGTTCCTGAGGTTTGTGGATTTTGTGGATTTGACTGGATCTGGGTTTCATTGTTTTCTGGGTTTTGTGGATATGTTTTATGTGCGTTCCGATATTAGTTCTGTTCAGCCAGGATATCAGTTTTCAATTGTCTGGATAGTTGTGTGGTTGGGATCTAGGATTCGATTTGTAGATCTGAAATATTAGTTCCTTTCATAGTGGATAACAATTAGCATGCTTGAGATACTACTTTTTTATGATGTGGTTATTGTTCTGTAATTGATTGTTCAGATATTAGTTATATGATGTCTGGATATTTATTTACTTCGTCTTGATATTTCTCTGCCTTATATGAATGCTAGTTCACTTATATTAGTTCTGTGCAGTTGAGATATCTGTTATATCATGTTTGGATATTTGTTCGTTGTATCTGGATATTACTTCTATAATGTTAGTTCTGTGATGTCCAGATATTGAAAATATTATGTCTGGATATTTGTACTCCATGTTTGGATATTTGTTCTCCATGTTTGGATATTTGTTTGCTCTTTATTGTATGGATTATAGTTACCTTATATTAGTTCTGTGTGGTCAGGATATCAGTTGATTTATACGTGAATATTTATATATGCTTCAGGGATATTGGACAATGGCAAGAACAAAAACAACAACGAAGAGACCGTAAGAGAAGGATCATCCCAACCTCGTCGTGGCATGATCGAAACGTGGGGGGCTCGGAGGGACATGAGAAAGAAGATAATCGAGAATTTGCACAAGCAAGACAACATTTGAACTATTCCTTTTTCGTTTTTTATGTAGTTATACTTTTTTAGATTTTAGATTATGGGATTGCCAAGTTGGAATGACAATAAATACTAGTTGTATCGCAGTTTATCGAAAAACGAATTTGTTTTATTATGAATTTGCTTAAACTAAATATCAACACAAACAAACATAGATAAACATCCACAAAAAAAAAACAAATGCAAACCACCCAAAATAATATCCGTTCACCATAAACAAAATCCAGAACACCCAGACTAATATCCCACCGCCTAATACTAATATCGAGTCAGCCCGTAATTAATATCTTCACCATACAGACTAATACCCACCACACACAGATTAATATATGGATGTCTTAGACTAATATCTGGCTACACAGCAAAAATATCAACACATCATGAACTAATATCCTCCAATCACATAATAATATCTTATCACCACACACTAAAATTGATCACCCTACATTGTGTTCAAAATCATTTCCACAATATTGTCTTCTAAACCCGAAACCAAAACTCAAACCCTATACCTGAAACCCTAATCGTAGACACTAAACACAAAGCTTGAACCCTTAACTCTAAACCTCAACCCCAAAGTCAAATCCTAAAACATAAACTCCAAACCCTAATTCTAAACCCTAAAGTCTAAACCCTAACACTAAACCCTAAATTGATGTAATCATATACAAATCAGTAGATAAACATCCACACAGAACAAATATCCAAACTACCCAGATTATTATCTGACCGTAGCAAACTAATACCTACCACACACATATTAATATCTGATCATCGCAGACTAATACCAACTACACATAAACTCTAAACCCTAATCGCTAAACACTAAACAGTAAATCCTTAACCCTAAATCCTAATCGCTAAACCGTAACATCCGTACAACATAAAAAAATATCCTAATCGCTAAACCGTAAATCCTTTACCCTAAATCCTAATCGCTAAAAGTGCCCCAATATCCGTACAACATAAAAAAATATCTGCACCACCCAGACTAATATTCATTCCTACCATAATAAATATCGTCACCAACATAAACTAATATCTACCTCTCACAGACTAATATCGTGCTACATAGTCAAAATATCCAAACATCCCAGACAAATAGTTGAGGACCAAGAAATTGAGGATGAAGAAAGTGATGACCAAGACGATGAGGGAAAAGGAAGAAAAGTTGATTTTAGAGTTGTGTAGTGTGATATTGGTTTGTAAAACTGAACTTAGGGTTAGATAATATTTAGGGAAGGATGATGATTTGTAGCAAGATGGATAATATTTTGTCAAATGTTGGATAATATTTTGTTTTTCCCTTTAGTCATCAATTAAACACATTTAATCAATTACCCACATTTATTCATCAATTAAACACATTTAATCCCTGTGAGGTCAAGATATTATCGAGGCGGGAAAAAGTCCAAAAGATGATCAACATTTTGGAGCAGCAAGCCCACACTTGAACTGACAATTTTCTTAAGTAATATTTTTTGTTTGGAATGTTATAATCGCCATGTCGGAATGGCTTTGAATACTAATTGTATCGAATGTTCCCACTAGTTTTTCTTACTTTGAATACTAATTGTATCTAGTGTTCTCACTAGTTTTGTGTACTTGAAAACAATAGCAGACCAATATCCGTACACCATAAAAAAAATATCCACACCCCCCAGACAAATATCCGCACCACCCAGACTAATATTCGTTCCTACCATAATAAATATCCTCACCAACATTAACTAATATCTACCTCTCACAGACTAATATCCTGCTACACAGCCAAAAAATCCACACAAACCTAAGCTAGACCCTAAACCCTTAACATTAAACCATAACACAAACCCTAAACCATAACACAGACCCTAGTGTGTTTAATTTCCTAGTGTGTTTAATTTGATGTAAGAAACAATATTTCAATCCTTCACAAATTGAAAACCGAACCATAAACCCTAAAACTTAAACTCTAAATTGGTGTAATCAGTTTTGGGTGGTTGGTTATTTTGGGGTTTGATAAATATTAATTTAATGATGGATATTGGTTTGCGAAGGAAGAATACTAGTTCATTTCAACAATGATGCAAAGTAATATCAACACAAGACATAATAATATCGACTGAAAACAAATAAATACCCACACAAACAAACATACATATATATCACAGGGGGCCCAAAAATTTCGTTCTCTTTCCACTCCAACTCAAAATCCCGCCCAAACTGAAGCCGGGCCCACCACGCCACTTGCTCGGCTCGCCTTCTGCGCCGCACGCTGGGCCGGCTTCTACACGGAAGCCCATCTCCAGCTCATTTAAGTGAGCCACCACCCAGCCGCCACTCTCCTCCGTTGGATGAAGCCCAAGCAACGTGGCCCAAAATCTGACCCTGTCAGTATCTCCTAACAAAATGCTCTGTTAAGAGACTAACTTTTTCGCTACCGATGGCAATCAAACTTGTAATTGTGTATATCCAAAGCCCCCAACTCAGTAAACATAGATAATTCTTGTATTTGCTGGATATAGGATGAATCATGAGTATGGATAAAATCTGTAAAACGTTTGATCGGGATGGAACAGATAAAGCAGTCAAAATCAAAATTTTCATTAAATCGAAAATGGAATAAAATTGTAGATGTAAAATCATCGGATTTTAAGGTCCAAATAAAAAATAAGAAAAAATTATATTAGTGAGGCTCCAACAATAATTTGTGTAGATTTAAACCGTCAAAATAGATTAAAAATAAAAAAGTAAAACAAAAAAAGGACGGGCACCCAGCACCGCTGGTCACCACTTTCTCCTTTTTAACTTTTATTGTTTTTCTTTCCTTTTTTCACATCAACGTTTATTTTGAATTTTTTTCCTTTTCATGTTTTTTTAAATTATTTTATTACCTTTTTTAAATAACATCGGTTACATAAACTACACATCTATTACATAAAGTTTACAGAATGATAATGAGTTTTTACATAACAGTTAAATTAAAATTGTTACGGAAGAGTTTCGTAATGGTTTAACACTTTACGTAACATAAGCAAGGGCGTATCCAGGATTTTATAGAGGGTGGGTCCACTTAGAAAAAAATAAATACGATAAAATAGTTTTGTTACCGCTTTTAAATAATTCATGATATAATATTGTATTTACAAAAATTTAGTAAATTAAATATATGTCTAAACTATCAAGAATATCACTTTATATATGTCAACCAATTATTAACGATTCAGTTAGACATTTGTTTTTGAATGGTTTCTTCATCACGACCATTTATTATAAATAACCCGACTTTGTAAAAGCTTTAATAATGGACTTATACTATTTAGTATTTATAACACTTCCCCGCTGACGAAAACCAACTTATACATGCTTAAATTTTTCGAAAATCTGAATATCATGTGCTTAACAAATGGGATTGCCAAGATTCGAACACATGATCTTTCGGTCAACCATTCTCAATTAGAAGTGCGTTAAATTTCATTATCAATTAACTATTATACTATTTTAGTCGTTTTTGTCCTTAGGAGTCGCCTGTTACACTCTCCCTACCCTTGATTGAAATAAACTTATTTTTCGGTCAACCATTCTCACGCTTCACTCCCTTCAGCACCTTCCGTATAGCTTTGCAGACATACACAACTCCACCTCTTCCCTTGAAACTAAGACCCTTGCTGTCGAGAAGACTCAAGGAGATCAGATTCTTTGTCATCTGTGGAACATGCCTGACTTCGTTCAAGGTGCAGAACGAACCATTATGTGTCCGAATCTTGATAGACCTGATTCCAACTACCTTGCAGACAGCTTCACTTGCCATAAACATGTTACCACAATCTAGCTGCTCGCAGGTTGAGAAACAATTCTTATTCGGAGACATATTGTTGGGCCCATAGTTAAGCGGTATTGGGCCTAAGAGGCCCGCGTCAGGCCCACGAAGAGACGGAGAAGCTAAGCCCAGGGAAGGGTCCGAGTCAATGAACGAGACCCGAGGAGACATAGGGAAAAGAGACACCACAGGCGGCCGCCCTATGACGTGACGGGAAGTAGGCCGCCCGACACAAGAGACCGTTGGTGTAAGGAAAAGCAGATCTTTCTAGGATACTTACCTCGTACACAGCAGGACTGAGCATTTAATGCCCGCCGCAGGCGGTTCAAATAAAGCCGAACATGTCTAGGCCGCCTGACAAGGCATTTAATGCCTCGTACCTAAGCTGGCTGACTATAAATACACCGGTATCGGCATTAATGGTAACTCAACTACTCTCTCTCTATCTAAACCCAAATAGCACTTCTTATTCTCTCTCTAACTTAAGCATTGGAGGGTGTCTGGGGAACCGCCCACGGACCCTTGTTTTGCAGGAGTTGGAGTGCACCCTTCATCTGGAACAGACGCCTTGCTTGCTCCACATACAACCGTCTGGAACAATCTAGGCTTAAACAATTTGGCGCCCACCGTGGGGCGAGAGAGGCACTGAAGAAAGGATGGACGGGAGCTCCAATACTCCTGTTAAAGACGTTGTCAGGGGAGATGGCTTCCGCAGCCAAGAGATCGCGACAGGCGGCCTCCGCGGGTTAGAAATGCCCGTTGTGGAGGAAGAGATGGAGATGGAGGTCCGCGTAAAAAGTCAAGGACAGCAGATATCAAGCATGCAAGAGAGTTTGAGCCAAATCCTGGCCATGCTCAAAGAAAAGGAAGGCGAGGCCCCAGAAAGCTCAGGGAAGCGAACAGCCAAAGGAAAAGGAAGAGACAAGGACCCCGACAGCCCTGCTCCGACAGAAGGCGGGGAGTCGGACAAGGAAGAAGGAGCAGAAGATGACAGCCTTGGATTCCTGGAGGAACATCTTAAGCCCACATACGGAGGCGCAAAGACCCACAACATCCTGCAAAACCCTCTAGCCAAAAGTCTGTTTAGAACTCAAGTACCATCGAACTTCTCATCACTCGGGCTGCCAACTTACAGCGGAAGCTCTGATCCCGCCGACCACCTGAGCGCCTTCATACTGAAAATGCAGCTCATCAACGCCATAGACGCCAATCTGTGCAAGGCATTCCCGGTCACGTTGGTGGGCACTGTCGAACTTGGTACACCTCCCTTCCCGAGGGAATAATCGAAAACTTCGAACAGTTCGCCACTCTCTTTTCCTCCAAGTTTGCATACCAGCGAAGAAGGAAGCTAACCGTCTCTGCCCTAATCAACTGCAAGCAAGGCGGAGAGGAGACGCTGACCGACTTCTATGGCCGGTGGAACGCCATAGCGTGTGAAGTACAGGGGATATCACCAAGTGTAGCAGCGGGGAACCTACGCATGTCAACACACAACTGTGAACTACGAAGAGCGCTCATCAAGAAGGAGCATGCACTGAAGGAATGGTCTGATCAGGACCGCCTAGTGAGAAAGGCGATCTTGTTGGAAGAAGCCATGGCAGTGGAGGACGCCGCTAAGCGTGTCAGCGCAAAGGAAAGACCAGAGAAGAAAAAAGGAGAATCGCCCAAGGGAGAGTCCCCGGAAAAACGCAACTATAAGCCACGGTTTTCCCACCGTGACAATCGAAGGGAAGTTTACACCGCCAGTAAAGAAGAAGGGAGAGAAAGGAGAGGCGACAAAAGCAATGCGCACCAGACGCATAGGAGGGAAGAGGATCAAAAATGGTGCGACTGGCACCAAACTCCCACCAATGACACCGCAGAGTGTAGGGAGTTCAGGGCCAGTCTGAAATACTTGGCACCTGGAGACCTGAGAAGCCGCCTAGATACACGTCCTCACCGTCAAGAAGAAAGGCACCACAGAGAGAGGTCACCGAGCCCGAAAAGAAGGTCGCGTACGCCTAGGCGCAGGAGGTCAAGATCGCCGAGGAGAGAAAGATCGCCAAGGAGAGAGAGATCCCCACGGCGCGACCGCCTACCACCACCACCCCGAAGATCACCTTAGCGTCAGCCCCGGCTGAATGAGGATGACGTAGAAGTCATAACCATCGCAGAGGCGGTCGGAAGCGACCCCGAAATGAAGGAGACCGCCTAGTTCAATGTCTGAATGTCAATAGAGGGGAACAAGTGGACATCAATTTCTCTCCCTCTGAGCTAGCACCTTATGAGAGCGCAGAAGATCCACTCGTCATCTCCCTAAGAACCAGGAAGTTCAAAGTCACAAGGGCGTTGGTGGATAATGGAAGCTCAGCAGACATATTGTTTTACTCCACGCTAAAAAGTATGAAGATGAGCATGCAGGATCTGAAACCCTCGACGACGAGCCTCGTGGGGTTCTCAGGATCAAAAATCATAGTGCTAGGCATGATCGCCTTACAAGTAACAATTGGAGAGGGAGATGTGACGAAGACACGCACCATGGAAATTCACGTAGCAGATTGCCCGTCGGCATACAACGCAATTCTGGGACGCGGTTTCCTATCGCTGTTTTCCGCGGTCCCGTCAACGTGCCACCAGATGCTCAAATTTCCCGTAGGGGGAAGAGTAGGACGGGTTAAGGGAAACACGGAGCAAGCGAAGGAGTGTTACCAAGCAACAATAGAAAGCCTGGAGGTAGACTTGGTAGACACATGAGGGGGCACCCCCGCCCGGAGGCGGTTGAAGGAGATGCGGAGGTAGTCCTTGATGACGAGGAACCTGAAAAGAAGGTGAGAATTTCTTCTCATCTAACAGAAGAGAAGGCCCGAGAGCTGTTGGCGCTCCTCAAAGAGTACAAAGACCTGTTCGCATGGACCTCGGAGGACATGCCAGGCGTTTCGAGAGAACTCGCCGAGCACCACCTCTCGGTGAAAAGTAAGTCGAAGCCCATCCAACAGAGGAGGCGAACAGCGTCCCTGGAAAAGCAAATGGCCTTGGAGGAAGAGGTGAGGCGGTTGTTAAAAGCTGGTTTCATTAGAGAAGTCAAGTATCCTACTTGGCTGTCGAACCCTATTTTCGTCCGCAAGGCGTCCGGGCTATGGCGAATGTGCATAGACTTAAAAAATCTGAATGCGGCCTGCCCAAAGGACGCCTATCCGTTGCCAAGAATAGATCAGCTAATCGACGCGACCGCCAATCATGAAAGCCTTAGCTTCTTGGACATGTTCTCAGGATATCACCAGATCCGCTTGTCTGAAGAAGATCAGGAAAAGACAACTTTCATGACCCACATGGGAAACTTCTGCTACACGGTCATGCCGTTTGGCTTGAAGAACGCCGGGGCAACGTACCAGAGAATGATCGACACGGTCTTCAAAAGTCAGCTGGGAAGGAATGTGGAGGCATATGTTGATGATGTCTTGGTAAAGAGTAGGAAGGAGGCGGACCACCTGAAGGACTTGAAGGAGACTTTTGAGAGTCTGAGAAAAGAGCGCCTACGGCTAAACCCGCTGAAGTGCGTGTTTGGGGCCAAGGCAGGGAAGTTCCTAGGGTTCATGATCACAAGCAGAGGCATAGAGGCTAACCCAAAACAGATAGAAGCCATAACAAGCCTAAGACCGCCGCAAACCGTTAAAGAAATTCAAGCGTTCAACGGAAAAATGGCCGCTCTAAGTCGATTCATCCCAAGGTCAGCAGACAAATGCTCTCCTTTCTTCCAAATGTTGAAGAAATCGGCATCCCGCTCATAGTGGAGCGCAGAATGTGATAAGGCCTTCTTTCAGTTGGTAGAGCAGCTGACTTCGCCCCCTGTCCTGAGCACCCCACTACCGGATGAAACCCTGTATCTTTCCTGGCGGTCTCCGATCAAGCGGTCAGCTCGGTCTTGGTGAGAAGAGATTGCGATGGCTCGGACCGTCCAGTCTACTACGTAAGCAAGGCGCTCCTCCCAGCGGAAAGACGATACATGCCTATTGAAAGAGCAGTTTTAGCGGTCGTAACGGCAGCAAGAAAGTTGCGTCCTTACTTTCAAGGGCACCAAGTCATTGTCTTGTCAAATTTACCACTGAAGAAGATTTTGAAGGGAATGGATGTGTCCGGCAAGATGACAAATGGGCGGTCGAACTAAGCGAGTATGATATTGCATACGCTTCGCGGCCTTCCATCAAGGGACAGGTGCTTGCGGACTTCGTCGCTGAGGGGTTCAGCCTAGAAAGTGCCGAGGAGAAGAAGGAAGCAGACGTGTGGCGTCTTTACGTCGATGGGGAAGCAGGAAAAGGAGGAGAGGGAGCGGGAATCGTCATCGAGACGCCGGCGGGAGTGATACACGAAATCTCTCACAGATTCCTAGAGTTAAAAACCAACAATGTGGCGGAGTATGAAGCGCTCCTCAGCGGGCTCAAGATTGTCATCAACATGGGCGCTTCACACCTACACATTTACTCTGACTCGCTGCTGGTAGTGAACCAAGTGCTGGAAAGCTACGAGGTGAAAGAGGAAGCCCTCGCAAAGTTGGCGGGGAAAGTCAAAGGAACTTTAGCTCAGTTAGATTCATGGAAGCTTGAGCATGTAAAGAGAGAAGATAATCATCATGCGGACGCCTTGTCAAAACTGGCGACCGCAATGGACTTTGAAGGGGAACGCCGAGTAACAGTGACGAAAGAAGCGGCCCAAGCATATGAAGTAATGGTCATCGGGGAAGGCGATCAGGATTGGCGGTCCCCATTGGTAGATTACCTACAGAACGATGTTGTCCCGGAGGATGCGGTCTTGGCTAAGGCACTCAAAAGAAAAGCGGCTCACTACACCATTGTAGAGGGGCAAGTGTGCAAGAGATCTTTCTCAGGGACATATCTCAAGTGTCTAGGCCCAGAAGAAGCGAAATGGGTAGTCAAAGAAATACATCAAGACACCTGCGCAACCCACTCAGGACCGCGGAGCCTTGAAAGAACAATATTGCTTCAAGGATACTACTGGCCAACGGTAAAGAGGGATGCAATGGAGGCGGTCCAAAAGTGTCATGAGTGTCAGATTCACGCTAGCAAGCAGCATCTGCCAAGCGAACAGCTGAAGAGCATCACAGGACCATGGCCATTCGCACAATGGGGTCTGGATCTCTTGGGACCATTCCCCACAGCTCCTTTGGGGAAGAAGTATCTCGTGGTCGCGGTCGACTACTTCACAAAGTGGATCGAAGCAGAACCGCTGGACACAATCACAAGTGCCAAAATCCAGAAATTCTTGTTCAACAACAT